GTATTTTTTAATTAATAACTTATGGCACGCTTAAATAAAAAAGAATATTCTCCGGTTGTAACTTCTGAAAGTGTTAGAAAAATCTTGTATTCCACATATACGTCTGCACGCATTGTTCTATATATTTTGTATGCAATTAGTGCGTGCAGAATAAATTATTTTTAACTTGTAATTATTTCATTCAGCCAAATCATCATCGTAAATGAAAACTAACGTTTGTAGTTTAATATATATTTGCAATGCAGCGTGATTATTGTTGCAATATAAAGCGCGATGACGCGACATTCAATATATCACATTGTATAAGATATATTTATTATTTATACGTAGCCTTTCATTTCGTGATGAAATTATTTCAAAACTTTCAATTGTTTTACGACGATAATTATATCGTTCGTGCAATTTCAACAAGTTTGGGATATCGCAAATTGCATATCTAAAAATAGGACTTTGTGCGAGATGTGCGGTGACAATGTTTAATAAAAAACATGTTTCTCGCTAGAATGCAAACCAATTGCAACGTTTAACGCTACTTCGTGTAACGAATGATCCGCAGCGAAAAGTCAATACCAAATATTCGGCTAGTTGAGCTATATGTATTGGTTCTATCGACTGTTTCGGAGAAAAACATCAAACGAAAAACAGACGGTTGAAATTTTATTTGTTCGCACGATAAAATACTTTTTTATATATGATAATATATAAAAAATTATATGTATATATATATATATATATAATGCGATACCGCTTATGTGTTCTAACGCTCTCACTTGCTTCTTGCTCCTCGAATAACTATTTTATTTATTGTAACAGTGATTCTTAGGACACATGTTTCGACACAATGAAAAAAATGGGGATACATATGATATTCTTGTAAAATCAATTTATGCAATTTACATGCAATATAATTTATTTGGAATCTTATTGCCAAACATTAATTATATACAATATTAATATGATGACTTTCATTACAATAGTCTGTTTACAGAAGAAATAATTATTTGCCTCTAAACAGCGGGTAATTATAGATCATAAATATGAATCAGTAAAAGCGCAATATAAGATTAAACAGGGATGAATATATTCTCACGAAGCAAGCAAGGTGCAGGCAAACGAAAGGTGTAAGCTCAGATTAATAGGGGTCGATTTCAGTATCGGAGATGGCAAATCGCGGTAATTAATATCGCCATTTGTTCCACGTCACGTGCACGCCTACGCGCGTACGCACACACACACATACGAGCTGGTGCAGGCCCACGGAATATAAACACACGCACGCAAACAGCCGAACGAATTGTAGGAACGTAGACGACATACACGCTAGGGGATAGGCATACGTTCGGTTCAATTGAAAGGCGAAATACATATCCCGACTTCCCGAAGATATTAATTAGCTTTCGCGGTTCATCGAGCCGGTCTCCACCAGCTCCCCGGAATCGGCATATTTCACACGCAGCCACGCAATTTCGATGGGTGCGTGCGATTGCTCGCATTGGTGACTCGTTGAGATTTAATTGTTGCATTCGAGAATTTGTATGGCTCATTGATGCGCGCACCGCCTGAAATGAGCACGTTCCAGCGCATTTGAACGGCTCTGAAAGTGGAAGTTGATACAACATATAAGTAAATTTAGCAGGTTACATGATAATTTACTTGCAAGGTAGAAACAATTATTAAACGGTTAGTTCATTATTTTAATTTAATCTGAAAGTTTGCATAAATGCAGCAGAGTTTATGAAATGGACAATTAATACAAACCTACTTTAGGTATGTAACGTTTATTTGAAGCATTGATCCAAAGCAAATCGTTAAATACATGTATCACAATTACATTTGATTTGCTAAATCGGGCGTTCAATTGAATCTACTACTACGTTATAATCTAATAATCTGCTGGGATATTACTGTTCTTGCGAAATCAAAATCGACATCTATTGATGCGTCGTTCCAATTGGCGCGTTGAGACATGGGGTTTGCGAACGCCAATTGCTTGTTAGTAACATGCGCAATCAATATGATCAGATTCTATTCTGGAGTTTCAATTGATTCTCTTTATCCTCAATTTACCAGCGTCGACCTTTCATCATGTTATTTCACTACATACCATAAATTAAGTAAATACAGTAAAAATACATTTTACAATCTCTGTTTGATATCGAAATTTTAGTTATCTTTTACATTTTGCAAAAAATAGACTCAATAAATTTTCGAATAATTACTTAACAGTTGTATAATCATTTTGTTTTAATTTACATCAGAAAAAAACTAATATTATAATTTATGTGTTAACGATGTGATAAGTTTGCGGTACACATAATCGATATGATAGGAAGCTAAAAATGTTTTTTACGAAGTCCGCACTTTTTGTAAAGTCCGTAGTTTTGATTAAATTTACTGACTGTTTAATTTTGATGGAACTATGCTGCACATTTGAGTCAGTAATGCAGTCTCTCTCTCTCTCTCTCTGCAAAATTTGCCAAATTACACCTGCAAAATAATGATTTCCTGCTGTTTATTGCATGAAATACCATAAGTAACTGGAATCATTGTTCAGCCACAACAAAGGTTAATTATTCGGTAGTGCGCTTAATGTATGCCATGAATCGGAATCATTTTGAACAGCGTGGATGATAATTATCCAGCTTTATCTAAAACCGACGAAAATTATGAGCAAAATCTTGTTAAAATTTATAAATCCGGCTAACGTTATGCATTTGGTTTTAAACGTTTAATAAGCAGCGTTGCATTATCTCATTATTCAATATTAATCTGAGTATCACAAGCAAATTTTTTACAATTCTTTTCTTTCCGAGTTCTTTTCCTGACAAATTTTTTTATCCAGAGTAATGCAATTAATCCATAAAATAGATATGCATTGTAGTACGCGTGCCCAACAGCAATTTCATTTCTGCTTCTTTGTTTTTTCCCATTTCGTTATTTGTTTTTGTAAAATGGCCAACATGCACGCAAAACTGTGCCGCATTCATTCAAAACCAGGATTATTCTGCAAAGAATGTTACGAAAGTTTAATTTGAGACTGAGAGATATGTTTTGTAAAAATTCTCTGTAATGCTGTATCTTTATAATCTATGTAGTATTGTAGAGTAAGAGAGAAAGAGCAAAGGAAGCGCTAAATACCTGAAGAGTTATAGAACTGATAGAATGTGTGAAAATCTTACAAAGTACGAGAGAATTCTAGTTATTTTGGAGAGAATATGTGAGATAGTAATAAAATATTAGAAAGATTATATATGTATATATAATTCATAACTAATATATTGAAATACTAAATCTGAAAACTGTGCAAAATTAATTTTTGTAGTAATGTTCAAGATTTAAATTCTGCTTAAAAGAGCGAACACTTTTATAAATATTTTCATAATCCTGAACAGATTTTTACGTAGTACATTGTATATGTATGTTGTAAATAATTGGGAAAGGAGGGAGGGAGGACTTAAAAGGGGGGGGGGGTTGGAGACAGATTGAAAATGTATTAAAAGTCTTGGAATTAAAACATTGAAGACTTTTACATTAAATTTGCGAATGTATAAGCAACTGTAACAAGTTTATCAATGATATTAAAATGTAGAGTCTTCCATGTTTTTTAATGTGATCTATAATTGAAGTAATCCATGTTAATCTACGTCAACGAGGTCAAACATTATATAATCTCTCATTTTGCATCGTAAAAGGAAGTATTTTGTAACTTGGTATAACAAAGTATAGGGTAAAAATTAATTAAAAAGTCATTAAAGGGAATAATTAAATTTTCTTGTATATTATAATACTCAGACTTTTCTCGATATAATTATACTAATTTTTATTATACGTTTATATATACATATAGATGTATGTCGATATTAGTTTATCTAATTTTACGTAAAATTTTATTTGAAGATAGGTTCAAATAAAGTGTTATATGCGTAGATTCTCGGATATGTCAGAAACGACATTGGATTGTACCACCGAGTATTATATGTATACCATAGATCTCTACTTATTCTTACTCATAATTTGTAAATCTTGATACAGTAATTTTTTAAGAGAAAATCATTTTAAGTAAGAGTTGTTCAATTGTTAATACACAATCCGGTTGTTATTTCTTAGGGTACCATTTAAAATTTTTAAGTCGCTTCCTCGGGGAGACTTTCCAAATTCAACTCAAAGAACACTTGTGAAATATTTCTATGCGATTTTTTTATACGTTGTCTGATTTAGCAAACTACGCGCTGGTTATTTGTCGGTCTTAAAATACAGTTCCTCACACAAAACTATTATTATTACGTCTTAAGCTAAAAATCTAACCGAACCGTAGACGATATCTTCTCTATTTAATTGTAAATTGACATCAGTCCAAGTTTACTTAAAAACTTAATTACTTAAAAAGTCTCTTCGTAATAAAAAAAATCGTCTTAATCATGTATTTTTATCCACTGATATATTACTCTGTAACACTCTATTTAAGCTACTGTGTGTTTGCGTTTGTGTGCGTCTGCGTGCGTGTGTGTATATTCGATTTTTCTATTTTTTATTTATTTAATTATTCCAGTTTTTATTTATAGTTTTATTTGTAAAACAACAATATTTTATTCATATTTATTAGTTGTTTTATTACTTACATATGCATCATTAATTCCTTATATACTCATATAAACATTAGTTATTTCCTACAGCAGTTTTAGCAACTAATACAATTTAACAACTAGTTTAGTTTAACAATTGAAGTCTAAAAACGGATAATAACATAAAATAATTTTATGACTAGTGTGTCATATAAAAAATTAAATAATACAATACTATAAACATAGTATTATTTCACAATGTTTTAATCTAATTTTCTTGATGCACATTGAACTATGATCAAATACAGTTTGAAATGTTTCTTTCTGAATTTTAATTTAATAATTAGTTTGTACATCATTTTTGCATTATAGTATATTAAAATATATTATTAGAATATAATTATTTGCATTGCTTTTGTATAATAACGTTATTTTTTGTTAACATATCGATAATTATAGATGTTGTCTACGTAACAAGATAACTGTACTTATACGTATACTATATACATATATCCCAGTGTCTACATATAATACATCGTTTGCAGTTTAGCCTAAAATTTTGACGGGTTAAAAACGAAAGCATTATGTTAGATAAAATTTTTTATGTTTTAAATTACAATGATCTAAATTACAAACATCTTTCATCATGTCAATGGTGGTTTTTGTTTTGAAAAAGTGCAACCTTTTAATTGTTATTAATTTTAATATATTTGCTTTTTCATACCTATTATTTCTTAACCTTTTTTTCTACATTTCATCACAAAAAATTAAACATTATAGATCCAGTAAACCCAATTCATCATATTGTGGAAGTTTCTTCATCATAGCTTTTTTAAAGCTCTCTTCCTTTAGACCCGGATTTTCAAAATTGCCAGCTTCCATGATCTCACTAATATCTTTAACTTTAGTCTTGGAGCACAGCACTATTGGTAAAACCGTGAACGATGCTATCATTCCATAGGCGGCCCTTCGTTTTATGGCAGCTTTCAGCTCCTCTATGGTGGGTGGCTGCGACTTGCAGCCCAGTTGTTTCATAGTTGCCGACAGCATGCCATGGTATTCATTTAATAGTTCACCTCTTTTGTTTTCAATAACATCCATCGAAGGACTTGTACTGAGAAAATAGAGAAGATCGACTGCCGGCGATGAGTAGAGACATATTTGGAAATCCACCTGTAATATCAAATGAACTCTTTCGATCGATCGATTTCTTGAGCCCCCGGCAATTGAATTGGAAATGAAATTGGGACTCGTGTTTAGGAAGTCGCGGTGAGAAAGTTGAGAGTTCGCGCGGATGACACGGGCAGACAGGTGGCGGAAGTACCTGAATGCGATCAAACTGGATTTATTGCATTATTCATAATATATTGCATTTTCAAGTATCTCATATTATCGCCGTCTCTTTGTTCTGGTTGTTAAAGTCGATATAACGGATCGCCAAAATACGTTAACATAACAGTACTTTTCAGAATATTGTGTATTTGTTTACTTTGGTTACTTTTTTTTACATATGTTGCATTCAACTTGTATTCAATTATAAAAATAATTAAAAAATTCAAAATATAGACAATTAGAGCAAGGCGATGCTATATTTAAATTGTACTAGTGCAGTGCTGGGAGAAGTGTACCAAATTTTTAGTGTACCGCTTTTTTGGGACTGACAATGAGTGTAGCTTAGTTTTAAAGTAAATGCGTGGTTTCAAAGATATAAATTACATCGTTATACATGCAGATATAAATTAAATTTCACAAATATCTTCATTTAATCCTGATTATATAAATCAATAAGCATAACTCGAATTTAGAGGAAGTATTTTTTATAATGCGATGGTACTTACACAAATGTGCTCAATGGGTTTACCACTGTTGTCATATTTGAATAACATATTGTTTACCCAGTAATCACCATGATTAATAACACTGAACTCATCTTGGCAGTATTTGGTTGCATCCACTCCTACTTGATATACGTGGTCGGTCAATTTAGTAATTTTGTCCGCGTATCTAACAATAAAAGTCATATGAATATGGAATTATATAAAATTATGTAAAAGGCACAAATGTTTGCTTTGTTCTTTAAACAACGCAATTTGTATTTGACAATTTCTGCTTGTTTCTTCATCAACCATGTTTATTCGCGTAAAATTATCTTAGACATTATGAATTATCAGTAAGTAAATATTGCGTTTGTATATCTCAATCTTACTTTTGCATTCCTGGCCACTTTGCTACCTCATTTCCTAAACTTCTAACACTCATAATGAAAAAGTCCTTCATTTCTGGTGGATAGGCATCGTTAAACATTCCTTTCGTATACATCTGTTTTACCTTTGGCTCCTGGATATTGAAGAATTTGTATTAAAGAACATATTCATTTGATTATAAAATTTAATAAATAAATGTGGATTGGAAATTTGAAACATTATATGTATATGTGAGACTATACAAAAAATCAACGACCATAATTTTAATAATGCGCAAGTTGTTAACAAAATTCAGAGCAGATTTTTTTCTTGTTACGAGGATTATTATTTGTCACAACTTTTGTAAATTTTAATATATCAATAACGAATGAATTTTGTAAGTGTAAAAGACTTTACACGATATCTTAGTCGAGAAGAAGTTGATTTTTCTTACTAAGAGAATAACTTGATGTATACTTTTTGATTACATTGTAATTTCTTTTTATGAAAAATAATTTTTCATACTGTTTCCTTGGCTAAGCGCCCAGGCACGTGTCGCAATAAAGGATAATAAAGGGTGTATTGGACTTTGGTTAAAACGGTTATTCTCAGCCAGGCATTTCTGCGGGATCATTCGCCGTATAGTTTCGAACTCCCATTCGACCATACAAAATCGCTGCGGTTTATGGTAACCATTATGCCGCACGCATTATTACAGTGTACATATCTGTAGTATCAGAGTTTATAGGACCACGCTGCACGATATTTATCTTAGATGGATTACGTAACAAACGTTAATAGACATAATAATACCTCCGTATCCTATTACACATCTGCTCGAACTTTTATGGTTCTTTCATGATTATTATAGTTACTAGTAAGTTTAATTGTATAAATCATACAAAGATTATATAAATGAAACCAAAATTTGTAGCTTTGATATTTATGCAAAAAGTTTGTATAACTTTATTGCATAAATGTATTGTAAATATTTTTATTTATTTATGTATTTTTATTTTGCATATTTTTTATCAACTGCATCTAGATTTATTTTGAATCGGAATTTGTTATATTATAGAGAAATAATATTTTTCATTTCTTTTAAACAAAAGTTATTGAATATATCATGTTTTATTCTAAATAAATGAAAACGGATAAATTAAATATGATTGAAAGGCAAAATTACTAATTATATTTAACGTGGCATAGATTCCTGACAATGCTAATAATTGTAAAACATAAAAACATTTTGCTACTGTAATTTATGCAATACGAAAATTTGATTTAGCCTGGAGTTAAGTAATACAGATTTGACTGACAATGAGTCACGCCTGGTAACTTACTTTCTCATATAAGGCTACAGAAGCTGCGTGAAACCTGGCTAGTCCGCGAAGCGCCAATACGCAGTGAGCTAGGTCAAGACCAGACGTACGCTCAGCCATGCGAAAGCCGAGAGGCGCGAGATCCTCAATCACTAGAAGCGTTGGATTTTCATTTTGTACGTATAGACCCTTCGCGCTTATGCGATGCTTCGGCGCTAACATCTTATTCATTTTATCCAAGGTATCTGACATCATTAATATTTCGGTGTTGAAGAGACCTGATTGTTCGACCTGTAAAAAGTTTACTTAGGATTAACAAATAAAATCTTTTAATTAGACAAGCACGCGACTATTTTGTGATATAAAAGCCTAAATAGATAGTTTATGTCATGGAGAGTTTCAATTTCCCAGATGACAAATAATTTTATTTCGCAAATCGAAATTTATTTTAAAGCCACTGAAGAATATACATTTTTACATATGTAAAAGGCATATATATATATGCCTCTGATAAAAATAATTTTATTTTTAATCACTGTTTACCTCAAAAAATAATTGTTCTGATTCTTTTGTTGAATAGAAGTTTAATCCACAGTACCGGCCAATAATACGTATATTACCTTTCGATTTTTTTAGCATAACTAATTTGAAAGTGCTCGAATGGAACATTAAAAAATCAAGATGTACTCTGTCAAATTTCATTACCCTTTGTGTACAAGATTTGTTATCAGGTGTCTACTGTAAAATTTGAAGCACATTCGGTGCTCACTTCGGCGAAAGTTAGGCCCACTTTTGACCGGTACTGTACTTCGAGATAGTAAAATTTACTACTTTGCTTTAGAAATTAAATTAACTTACAAGGTCCTTTTGAACACCTTCGAGTGTAGGCGAGACTTTGACAATGATTGACTTTTTTCCGGTAATCTTACGGCCGCCTTGCTCACGCGAAAATTCGGCAGTAACCCTGATCATGTCGCTGGTGTAGTTGTCACCCTTAGCGGTGGCCGGTTTCGAGGATATATCGATCACCTGAATCGAGTTGTCGCCCTCCGACTTTCGCAGGATCTTCTCTACGAAGCATAGATTCAGCCATGTCGGTGTCTCTTGGGCCATTTCTGAAATTGGAATTGGAATTGGAGAATTTCCCCGACAAATCATTGTTCTTCCCGCCGTGTCACGAAACGCGAAAACGATTCTTTACGATAACTTATTGTTCGCGGCGAGATTTATCACGTTTTCTTTCTCTCTTTCCAGCCAGCCCCCTCCACTCATTCCGGCCTTTCCACCCTTTCCTTCGCCGCGCCCCTACGCCCTTTCGCTTTTTTTCTCGCTCGCTTTACCGTCGTTTCTCTCTTTGTGCCCGTCGATATTCAAGACGGCCGCATTCTCCTACGTTTGAGATCGCTGTTTCAATTAAGAGCGTAATGGGAAGCCGCTTTTCCCTCGTCCCCCTTTTTGGCCAACGCCATACGTACGTTTCGCGTTGAGATCCCGTCGAACGTGATCGAGTTGCGGTATTTGCGAGAAATTTACGACGCGTCTGGCTAGCCGCGATCGCGTACGTACTTGTGGTCGAACAACCTACGGCCATATTTCACCTTGATGAGTTTTCTCAGAAATGTTTTTCGCGGTTTCCTCAGAATCACACCCGTCCACCGTCAGGACGTTTAATGACTAAACTTACGTATAATTCTAATAATGCATAAGTAACTTATGGTAAATGGTATCAATTATATTGAAACTGGTTTACCTTTTCTAAATGACTGATATTATCAAACGCCAGAGATACGCATCAGTGACAAAACTGATTCTTCTTACAATCAATTTTGAGTTGATTAATTGATTAAGAAATCGATAACAACATTAAATACGAGTTGATATATTTCATCATAATTACAGATACGAAGTATTAAAGGATATTGATTATAATTCCTCTTCTTCTTAATTATACTACTTCCACATTACGTAACATGCTGACATTAGTATCAACTATTATGAAAACGTAAACAACAAGATAAGATCCGATTCAAGTCTAATTACTATTCATGCGGATATAATAATTACATAAGCGACGTAATCGTATGTTATACTCGGGATAGATAAAGCATAACGTAATTCTATACTCGTAGTGAAGTCACGACGCAATTAAAAAGAATGACCGTAACTTCTTCATGTCGAGATAAAATCAATATTATCTAATCACTGTACGCTTTACATTGTTACTTCTTAAAATTACTTCTCGTTTATTTGAAACACTAATTTTCTTCTGCTATCTCCAATTTTCAATAACCGTTAGTTTGCCATAGGAATCTTTTTGATTATTTATTCTATTGCTATTATTATGCTTTTTCTAAGAGGTATTTGTCTCAGAGAGATGAAACGTTTCTTCAGAAGATATCTTTGACCTAAGTGCAATAATCTAAGTGCATCTGAACATTAATTTGGTGTTTCAAAGGTTATTCAAGAAGATAGAAAAGTTAATTATTCGCAGCATAGTGATATTAATAATTCATCGTGTTATATTGCAATGTCATTCTTGTTATTGCATTCGAAGCAACACAATGTTAATCACGATTTCACACTTCGTAAAATAAGTCTCACTTAGATAAGGTTGTTTGCATTACATGTTAAAACATTTTTGTATATCTCTTATCTTTACGATAAGATACCCTCACATTAGAGGTACCTTCTATCTCGCAAATATTTTATCTCTTTAACGTATACAAGAGCAGCAAAAAGAGAGATACTCTTATTCCTTATCTATGGTGTAACGTATTTACTTTGACTTATTTTATTACTTAAACAAACACGTCACTATTACTATATACAAAAATTATATTAAATTTATTTTATGCGATGCGAAATTATTATATTATTATATGACGTATGCTTATTGTATTCATATATGCAAACAGACAGGTAGAAATGCTTGTACATTTTGATAGAGATTCGAAATATAGAAATTTCCAGGTATTCCTGTATGTATGTATATTCAAATTATCTCGTATCGCAGATAATTTAATGTCGAAGCGTCGACGAATAATCGATGCGAAATTAATTGTCATTTTTGTCCTCATCATATTTATTTTTATGTTGATTAATTAATTACGAATATTTATATTAAATTTTTATGTCGGCCAATTCTCCCTTCTCCCTTTTGTTTGTCTGTCTGTCTGTCTGTCTGTCTGTCTGTCTCTCTCTCTCTCTCTCTCTCTCTCTCTCTCTCTCTCTCTCT